ATTTCACTTCCCTATGTATGTGAAAAGCAAAGTAATAAGAAAGAGATCTATTATGATAAAATCAAAGAAAAGTTGGAAGTGTATATATACAGTACATAAATGTTTACATGCATGTGTAGTGTGACCTACGTGTAAGTAGAAGTAGAGAGGCTTGCCTGAAATCTTGCATGTTTATGAGACAGAAAAAAGACACCAGCAATCCTACCATCATGTAAAAGAAATACAGGTTTCTCTGTTACTTGGCAGTTTGGTAGTACCTCACTGAGAGGTTGCTGTCTTCCAACCTACTACCTACATACCCCAAATTCATCTACCAACCTTTGCAGCTTCTCTTGAGAACTTCACAACAGAACTGTCATCGGCAAGGAGCAACTACGAAAACTTGCCTTGGATCAGATTGTCTTTCAGTCCCACACCGTTTCCCAACTCCTTAGCATTCACTTCTTTTACATATCCATCTTAAAATATGTTCAACAGTCATGGTGGGAATATTCTTGTGACCGTGGGAATATTTTTGTGACTGGGAATATTCTTATGACCGTGGGAATATTCTTGTGACAGTGGAAACATTTTTATGACCGTGCGAATATTCTTGTGACAGTAGAAATATTCTTATGACCATGGGAATATCCTTTTGATCTGTGGAAATGTTCTTGTGACTTTGGGAATATTCTTTAGACTGGTAATATTCTTGAGACTGTGGTAATATTCCTATGGACTTATGAATATTCTTATGACCGTGGGAGTATTCTTAGGACTGGGAATATTCTTATAACCCTGGGAATATTCTTATGACCCTGGGAATATTCTTATGACTGTGGAAATATTCTTATGACCCTGGGAATATTCTTATGACCCTGGGAATATTCTTATGACCCTGGGAATATTCTTATGACTGTGGAAATATTCTTATGACCCTGGGAATATTCTTATGACCCTGGGAATATTCTTATGACCCTGGGAATATTCTTATGACCCTGGGAATGTTCTTATGACCCTGGGAATATTCTTATGACCCTGGGAATGTTCTTATGACCCTGGGAATATTCTTATGACCGTGGGAATATTCTTATGACAGAATATTCTTGTGACTGAGGGAATATTCTTGTGACCATGGGAATATTCCTGTGACTGGGAATATTCTTGTGACTGGGAATATTCTTGTGGAGGGAATATTCTTGTCACCGTGGGAATGTTCTGTTGAAAAGGAAATTATGACCATGGGAATATTCTCGTGAATGTGGGAATATTCTTGTGACCGTGGGTATATTCTTATGATTGTGGGAATATTCTTGTGACCATAGGAATATTCTTATAATCGAAGGAATATTCTTGTGACCTTGGTAATATTTTTGTGAACATGGGAATATTCTTGTGACCGTTGGAATATTCTTGTGACCATGGGAATATTCTTGTGACTGTGGGAATATTCTTGTGACCGTGGGAATATTCTTGTGACTGTGGGAATGTTCTTGTGAATGTGGGAATATTCTTGTGAATGTGGGAATATTCTTGTGAACGTGGGAATGTTCTTATGACCGAGGGAAAATTCTTATGAACATGGAGAAATTTCTAATGATCCGTGGGAATTTCTTGTGACCATGGGAATGTTCTTATGATCGTGGGAATTTCTTATGATAGTGGGAATATTCTATATATGTGGGAATATTCTTATGATCGTGGGAATGTTCTTATGATCGTGGGAATGTTCTTATGATCGTGGGAATGTTCTTATGATCCGTGGGAATATTCTTATGATCGTGGAATATTCTTATGATTGTGGGAATATTCTTATATCGTGGGAAAAATTCTTATGATCGGGGGAAATATCCTTATGATCGTGGGAATGTTCTTGTGACCATGAGAGTATTCCTTGGACTGTGGGAATATTCTTGTGACTTTTGATAATATTCCTGTGGACTTGGAAATATTCTTATGTCCGTGGAAATAGTGTTCCCTCGTTTTTCCCGTAGTTCTCGGCATCGAAAATTTCGGAAATCATAACGGATTTTTTCGTATAAACATGGCTCGCTTTTCATAGGTTGACTCGCGAGTCGTAGTTCGTCCGGCCGCGACCCAGGGCGTGAGCCGTGGCGACAGCCATCTGGCTTTGTTTACCGGGTGAGCGAAGGTCCCCTCACATGCTCCAAAAAAATACACCTACCATCCGACTTACTACCGAGTTCGGTTCCGAGAAACCGGTCGTAAGTCGAAATGGTCGTAAGTCGAAATGGTCGTAAGTCGAAATGGTCCCAAGTCGAATGGTCAAGTCGAAATGGTCGTAAGTCAAAATGGTCGTAAGTCGAACTTTACTACTGAATATCAACAAAACATTTTTGTAATGACTTTATTTTATTGTTTTATTTTGGTATTTCATGTTTTACTTTACTTTTTATGTTGTTAGTACTGTATTTTTATACTGTAAGGTTTAGGATAAACACGTGTACAACACAAATAATTGTTTATTTCTTAGATATTTGGCATAAAAAACACGGTCGAAAGTAAAGTGGTCGTAAGTCGAGCAGGTCGTAAGTCGGATGGTAGGGTATTTCATAATATTCCATTTATTTTAGTGCGTGCAAGTACTAAAAAGCTACCATGGCTCCAAAGAAGCTCCTAGTGCCAAGCCTGTGGTAAAGAAGTGAAAAATACGATTGAATTTAAGAAAACCATCAATGAACAATATGAAAGTGGTACAACTGTGGCCGAACTGGCCAGGATGTATAAGAAATCCTACACAAACATTTGTTCCATAGTGGCCAAGAAAAATGAAATCAAGGATGCTGTTGTTGCAAAGGGAGTAACTATGCTGACAAAAATGAGATCACCAGTACTGGAAGAGGTTGAGAATTATTATTGGTGTGGATAAATGAAAACAATTAGCAGGAGATACTCTATGACTTGGATTATTTGTGAAAAGGCTAGGCAGTTGCATGAAGATTTGGTAAAGAATTGCCTGCAAATAATGGTGATGTGAGTGAATTTAAGGCCAGCAAAGGCTGGTTTGAGAGATTTAAGAACTGTACTGGCATACACAGTGTGGTAAGGCATGTTGAGGCTGCCAGTTAAGACCACAAGGCGGCTGAAAAATATGTGCATGAATTCCAGGAGTACATAGAGGCAGAAGGACTGAAACCTGAATAAGTGTTCAATTGTGACGAAACAGGCCTCTTTTGGAAGAAAATGCCAAAGAGGACCTTCATTACACAGGAGGAAAAGGCAATGCCAGGACACAAGCCTATGAAAGACAGGTTGACGCTAATGTTCTGTGCTAATGCTAGTGGGGATTTCAAAGTGAAGCCATTACTAGTGTATCATTCTGAAAATCCCAGTGTTTTCAGGAAAAACAATGTTATGAAGAGTAAATTGTGTGTGTTTTGGAAATCTAATAGTAAGGCATGGGTCACGAGGGAAATTTTCGTCGAGTGGTTCAATGAAGTGTTTTGACCTTAGTGTGAAGGAGTACTCCTGGAAAAGAAATGGATCTCAAGTGCCTCCTAGTAATGGACAATGCACCTGCTCACCTCCAAACTTGGATGACCTAATTTTCGAGGAGTTTGGGTTCATCACAGTAAAGTTCTTGCCCCCGAATACCACCCCTCTCCTCCAACCCATGGACCAGCAGGTCATTGCAAACTTTAAAAAACTCTACACAAAAGCAATGTTTCCACAGTGCTTGACTGTGACCACAGACAGTCACTTGACCCTAAGGGGATTTTGGAGAGAACACTTCACAGCATCCTCCATTGCATAACCCTTACAGGTATGGCTTGGGAGGGAGTGACTACCAGGACTTTGAACTCTGCCTGGAGAAAATTGTGGCCGGATTGTATCGACAAGAGGATTTTGAAGGGTTTGGGGGCTGACCCTGATGAACCTATGTCTGTTGTAAAATCAATTGTGGCACTGGGAGTTCCATGGGTTTGGATGTGAGTTTGGAGGATGTGGAAGAATTGGTGGAAGACCACAACGAAGAGCTCACCACTGAGGAGCTGCAACAGCTTCAGCAGGAAGAGCAACAGATCGCAGCTCAGAATCTTGCTGCAGAGGAGGAGGAAGAGAGATGGAAGAAGGTGCCTTCTTCAGAAATTAAAGAGATTTTTACTATGTGGGGTAAGATGGAAAGCTTTACGGAGAAACATCACCCTAACAAGGTTGTTGCAAGCCAGGTTGGCAACATGTATAGTGACAAAGTCTTGGGCCATTTTAGGGAAGTGTTAAAGTGACGCCAGAAACAGAGCTCTCTGGACAGATATTTTGCGAGACAGGTCTCCAGTGACTCTCAAGGTGGTCCTAGGGGCATTAAGAAACAGAAAAGAGAAGCAACCCCAGAAAAGCAAATGGTACCTGAGGTGTTGATGGAAGGGATTCCCCTTCCGAACTATAAACAATCCAATCTCTCTCCTCCTCCAGTCTCCCATACACTAAGAAGAATCTCCAATAAAGGTAAGTGTTATGCTGTTAATGTTTCATCATCATTTCCCATTGTATTGTTTTATGTACTATATGTATATTTCATGTAAAAAAATTTTTTTTTTAATACTTCTGGGTGTCAGGAACGGATTAATTGTATTTACATTATTTCTTATGGGGAAAATTGATTCGCAAATCGTAAATTCGTCTATAGTAGCTCCTCCAGGAACGGATTAATTACGAAAAACGAGGGACCACTGTATTCTTGTGACCGTGGGAATGTTCTTGTGACCATGGGAATGTTCTTGTGACCGTGGGAAATGTTCTTGTGACCGTGGGAATGTTCTGGTGACTGTGGGAATGTTCTGGTGATGGTGGGAATGTTCTGGTGATGGTGGGAATATTCTTATGACCGTGGTAATATTATGATGTGGGAATAGTTTTAATGACCATGGGAATATTCTTGTGATGGTGGGAATATTCTGGTGACTGGGAATATTCCTATCATGTGTTAATATTCATATGACCCTGGGTTTATTATGATTGTGGAATAGTTTTATGACCGTGGGAATATTCTGGTGTTAAAGGTAAGCAACAGTCAGGTTTACACATGTTTTGCAGGAAGCCTGAATGAAATAGCAAAATACAAAGGAAGTAGCGAAGAGACTGTAATGAAGAGTGGCCAGCGTGTTTCTGTACTGGAGGAAGAGAGAGAGAGACGGTATGCTTTCTCTCAGCAAGCAGAGGAGTAAGTTACAAGATATTTATTTTATATTTCTGCACTTAGTAAGTAATTACTCCTCCATTAAACAAAGGTGTTCATCAGGGCAACATTTTGGATTGTCTGTTCCTACTCTATATTTTGTCATGCATAAACTGAATCAACTCTCTGCTATTGACACTGCCTATATTTTTGTGCTTGCCACTGCCCATTAAGATGGGTAACCTTAAGAAGGAAGCACACATACCATCACTCATTCAAGAGCTGTCTTCCCAGAAGTTCACTGACATTATATTGTTTTTTTTTTTCTCTTGCCAGTTGTTTGCATAGATTTTCTGTTTACGAATTTGTCATTTGGATTTTATTCTCTGGTTGAAGTAATAACTACACTTCAATTCTAATACAGTGGAACCTCAACTTATGAGTGTCCCAGCATATACGAGTTTTTAAAGATTCAAGCCATCGCTCGGTTGATTGTTTGCTCTGAGTTACGAACCAGTTTGCTCCTGCTTCCTCCTCAACCCACAACTTGCACACCTCTCTTGTTTATCTATGATATCATGCATTACTTCCATGGAAATCATCCTCTTTTTCTTCTCAGCACTGTCCTTTACAGTTAATTTCTTGGACCCATGGTTAGAAAAAAGAAATTTGGCAAAACAACTGCACAAATGCAAGGATATATGAAAAAAAAGCCCCCCACAGCTAGGTAAAAGTGCACTGCTCCAACAGAAATGGTGGTGTTCTGAACCCCCCCTCATTTTTATTTTTATTTTTAAAATTTAATATTAAGGGAACGGGAGCACAGATCCAATTCCCTAACGAGTCCCTCACCAGCATAAAAGGAAACCCCTGACGCTGGTGAGGGGCTCTTGACTAGGTTTAGAGCTGTGCTCCAGTTTCTCTAAACTATAATTATAATAAAAATTTATTAAAAAAAATAAAAAATTAAAAATTACTTGAAAATGCAGAAAATAAGTAAAAAAGGGACATTGTTGTTTGTAAAAATTTGATAAATTTGGATAATAAATAAGTTGGTTAATTTTTCATCATATTCAAGTTTTTTTCTTTCCTCCAAGACAGGAATTCTACTAAAAAGGGTTTAAGGCATTCAGTTAATTTAAATGAGAAAATTGATTTGATATTGGCAAATTGAGTTACAAACTAGGTCAGGAAATGGTTTAAACTTGAAAGTCAAGGTTCCACTGTTACTTCTGTACTAATTTAAGTGATTACTTACACCTCTCCTCACTTAACGACGAATTTCATTCCTAAGCCACGTTTAAACAATTTGTCACTAAGCAAGGGGCTGCTATGACGGTATGGTTTGTGTCAACCATCTGATATTGCTTTTAAAAAAGTTACCTTTTCACCATTTACAACATTTTAGTATATTTTAAAAGTTATCAGTATGTACTGTATACTGTAATAAACAGAATAGGGGCACTAGCTCTAAAACATGTAGTACATTATATTAGGTAGGCATACTGGTCAGAGAGCCCGTCGTATGGTCTGGTAAACGAGTTACGTCGCTAAAAGCAATCAATACAATTTGTATTTCTTTTTCAAGTTTACATTGAATTCGTAGTTTTCAATAAGAGTTGCTGCACAGGAGAGTCACTACGTGCCACGGGATTTTGGGCAGACTAAATTAAAGGCTTACAGACACTTAATACAAGAAATTGGTCATATTTAAGTTTACATCTGTTTTTATTGAAAACAAAAGTAAGTTAACCAGTTACAAAACTGGTATATTACATTTGGACAATTTGACAGTATTTTGAAGGTTGTGTACATCAGGTGTGAATATTTAAGTTATATTAATTAGAAAATAATAGAATGAGTTGGTTAAAGATTACAGTGTGATTAGTGCTACAATAGTATAAGGCATATAGTATTTTGTGCAGGATATTTATACAATAATTAATATTAAGTTAGTATAGAACTTGGGTATTAAATTTGAAGTGTAAATTAGGTAATTGGGGAGATCTTAAAGACAAATTACGTATTGAATTGAATATTTAGTTATATGGTGAGTAGATGGTTTTGAGAAGTGTTATTTGTATGGTCAGAGCCTGAGAGCTGTAGTAGCGAGCTCCACAACGAAACTTATTGAATACATCTACATATTATATCAACTAGGGTGCCAATGAAATTTTGATTAGTGTGAAGGCATAAATAATTATATTTCACAGGACAGAACAAAAAATTAGTGCGCTTACAACAACAGTTAGAGGGAAGCTCATGCATACAGGAGACAATGAGGCAGAAACTACCATGCAGGTAAGTTTTTCAAAAATGACAATAGGCCCCACTTACATGGGCAGGTAGGTTTTTACAGGCAACTGCCGAGAAATTGGACATGTGCCCGAAAACAGAATGGACAATTATTTCCAATTAAAAAGCATGTAAATTCTAGATAACAATATAACACTAACATTATATTAAGTTAGGAATAGGAACTAGAAAAAACATTAATCCCTTTCAGGAACCTAGGCCAATCTCAGTGTGAGCCAGGGTCCAAAATTTAAAAAAAAATAAAAAATCCTTACAGAAGTAGATAGTATTTCTATAGGATGAATAAAACAAACAAAAACTTCCGATCTGTACTTAACTGAGTTATAGAGGCGTGAAGTTTGACCCTCATTGGTGGGTCAGCAACATGCATGGTTTCCATATAGTAGTCCATTTTTTTATTTTACATTTTTACTTTTTTTTTTCCTTGAATATTTTTTTTTTTACCAGTAACTTTTGAGGCCTGTGAGACTAATGTAAAGACTTAAGCTAGCACACATTTCTTCTATATAACACTTCTGCTTTGTTAAAAACCACTCATAAGCTACCTTTAATCTCTTTTATCACACCCTTATACTTCAATCATTCCACCAGTCGCTCCTCTTTCCTCCTGCACACCCACCTCCTAAAACACAAACTTTCTGCCCCACGTTCAAATACTGCATTTTAAAAACTTACAAACACTCTCAAACCCCCCACCCCACTACTCATACTTGCAGACCAGCCCACACCTTTCTGCCAATAGTTGCTTATATCTCGGCCCAAACTCCTCCCCTCCCATAGTTTATAAGCTCTTTCACCTCCCTCTATTTTTTGAACATTGTTCCTCTTTTCCCCATCTAACCCTTACTTGTAACCCTTTGACTGTTTGAGGCCCCGTCTCTAAAACGACTGTCATTCTATGTCGCCAAATATTCAAAAAAAAATCGAAAAAAAAAAATTGTTTTTTTCTTATGCAAAAAGTAGGAAGGTATTTTCAGTAGTGTTTTAAAGCCAAAAAAATTTTTTTTTGCCATCAGTACTACCGAGATAAAGAACCGCAAAGTTTGCAGAAAGTGACGTGGGCGTACGGCCATCAGCGCGACTGCTGCCGAGCACGTACCTTATTTCTTTTATTTACTCCTAATTCCAATTTTCTTGGCATTTTCAATATTTTTCCTGTTCCAGATAACTGAAGTGCCTGTGAGACCAATGTAAGGTGCATTGTTCACATAAACACTTCATTGTATTTTTTATTTTTTTTTTAACAACACAATAACAGAACAAACTATAACAACTATTAGTTTTGTGTATACACTCATTACACAAACCAACAATACAAAAACAATATTAAGTAGACTATTGTTCCATAATATACAGTTGGTACCCCCCCCGCATAACGATGGCCTCAATAGGCGATTATTTCGCATACCGAATTACTTTAATCGCAAAATTTTGCCGGCGCCATAACCGAGAAAAAACCCGCTCACCGATTTTCGCCGAGACGCGGGTCCAATGTTCGCCCTCAGGCCACACCTCACATAGCCGCCCTGCGCATTGTTTACCAGCCACCTCCGCGGTAACATCCAAAGCATACACTCGTAATAATTCGAATTATTACAGTGTTTTCGGTAGCTGTTTCTGGAAAATAAGTGAACCATGGGGCCCCAGAGAAAGCATCTAAGTGCCAACCGGATACACCAAATAAGGGTAAATTCCCATTGAAATGATTAAAGAGATCATTGATAAGTATGAAATTAGGGAGTGCGTATCGCCGACCTAGTCAAGTTGTAATACAAGAAACCCCAATCAACCATTGCTACTATTGTGGCACCAAAAGACAATCCAGGAAGCTGTTCTTGCAAAGCAAAGGTGTTAACTGTTTATTCTACAACAAAGATCGCAAGTTGATGGAAGATGTTGAGAGCACTCTTATGGTTTGGCTAAATGAAAAAAACAGCTAGCAGGAGATAGTCGTCTCTTAAGCGATCATATGTGAAAAGGCTAGAAAGTTGCATGAGGATTTAATTAAAAAAATTCCTGCAACTAGTGAATGATGTGGATTGAATATAAGGGGCCAGCAAAGTTTGGTTTGAGAGATTTTAAGAAGCTTAGTGGCCATCCAAAGTTGTGATAATGGCATGTTGATGCTGCCAGATCGGACCACAAAGCGGCTGAAAAATATGTGCAGGAATTAGGAGTACATAGAAACTGAAGGACTGAAACCTGACAAGAGTTTAATTGTGATGAAACAAGCCTGTACTGAAAGAAAATGCCAAGCAGGACATACAGTACTCAGGATAAAAAGGCACTCCCAGGACATACGCCCTATGAAAGACAGGCTTACACCTTCTCATGTGTGCCAATGCAACTGTGATTGCAAAGGTGAAGCCTTTATTAAGTGTATCACTCTGAAACTCCCAGAGCGGTTCAGGCAAAAAGAAATGTCCTCAAGGATAATTTGTGTGTGCTGTGGAGGGCAAACCCAGTAAGGCCGTGGGGTCACTAGGGAATTTTTCTATAACTGGTTACACCATGCATTTGCCCCCAATGTGAAAGATTACCATAACTGAAAAGAAATTAGAACTTAATTGCCTCCTGGTGTTAGACAATGCCCCAGGTTCATCCTACAGACGTGGCAAAAGCTACTTATGGGGCCATGAGCTTCATTAAGGTGAAGTTTATGCCTCCAATACCACTCCTCTCCCTGCAGTCCCGTTATGTATGCAGTGGACCATCAGGTTATTTCCACTTCAGAAACGTACACAAAGCTGCTGTTTGAAAGGTTGCTTTGTAAAGACCCTCAGAAACTCAACAGACTCTAAGAGAGTTTTTTGGGAGAGATCACTTCATAATCCTTCAATTGTGTATAACCTTATAGGTAAGGCTTTGGAGGAATTGACTAAGGAGGACCTGAACTCCTGTTGGAAGAAACTGTGGCCAGAATGTGTAGACACAAGGGATTTTGAGTTTTGAGGCTAACCTGAGAATCCTATGCCAGTTGAGGAATCTATTGTGGCATTGGGGAAGGTCTTGGGGTAGGAGGTAAGTGGGGAGGATGTGGAAGAGTTGGTGGTGGAGGACAGTGAAAACTAACCACAGATGAGCTCTAGGTCATCTATTAACCGCAAGAGGGCATACCTGAGGCAACTGCATAATTTGGAGGAGTGGAGAGAGAAATTGAAGATGATTGCCTACTTCAAAAAAAGGAAATGTGGTGTAAAGTGGCTTGAAGTTGCAAACCTTTTTTGATGGAAAATCACCCTGACACAGCTACCGCAGAGCTGTGAATGGCAACGCTGTACACTGACAAAGTTGTGAACCACATTAAGGAAGTCATAAAGGACCGGAGGAGGTAACAGGTAACTATGGACAGATATAGTTGTGCGCAGATGTCCAGTGAACTCTGAAGCTGGTCGCTAGTGGCATTTAAAGAACAAGGAAGTAACCCCTAGAAAAAAGACTTGCTGCCTTCAAGCGGCTAATGGAAGGGATTCCCCATCTAAACACAAACACGATCAACGGTCACCCTACTCCTCCCATTCCATCAATCATCACCAGATCTTCAATAGAGTTAAGTGTCATGTAACAGTGGCATGTCATCTCAGTTTGTGTGTATTAAAATAAATATTTTCAGCGGTAAATTTTTTTTTTTTTTCATCTTTTATTTGGTGTCTTGCACTGATTAATTTGATTTCCATAATTTCGTTATGGGGAAAAATTCACTTGACTAACGATTATAATGACTAACGCTGAGCTCTCAGGAACAGATTAAAATTCGCTGTTTGGAGGGTCACAGTACTCACTTATACAAAAATATTGCTGGAACTTAAAAATACATTGTATAAATTCCCTAGACAATAGTAAATGACCAAGGCAGGTGGTAAATGCCCACCTGTCAGTGAGTTTGTTGGCAGATTGAGTACAATTTCAGTACCTAATATTACTGTCAGAACAAGAATTAGTATGAAATGACAAGAACTACAATAAATTGTAAAATTATCAAGCAAAAAAAATTATATAACAATAATTTTAAAAATGAGAAAAAAATTAAAATCGGTCAACATTTCATGCAAGTGCACAACTCGCTGTTGCTGTCAGGTGATCAAGTGCCTCTAACTGGTGGGGCCACATATCGTAAATACGTGACCCGAAAATTTATTTTAAATCCTAAAATACTTACAAAAATGTGCTCTTTATATCTTAAAAAAAAAAAAAAAAATTATTTTTCCAAAATATTAGGGGCACTAGCAGTGAGAACGTCAACAGTGACCCACATTGAACGCGAATTAATCCATTCCTGGAGCCGTTACTAAAAACGACATTTACGATGTACGATGCAATTTTCCCCCATAAGACATAATGTACATAGAATTAATCCGTTCCTGACACCCAAAGTATTAAAACAAAAAAATTTTATATAACATGAAGTAAAAAACATGAAGTACATAAACGCATACAATGGAATATGATGAATGAAAACATTAACAGCATAACACTTACCTTTATTGGAGATCTTCTTAGTGTATTGGAGACTGGAGGGGAGAGAGATGAATTGTTTATATTTGTGAAGAGGAATCCCCTTCCAAATCACACCTCAGGTACTCATTGTGCTTTTCTAGGGGATGCTTCTCTCTCTGTTCTTAATGCCACTAGGACCACCTTGGAGAGTCACTGGAGTCCTGTCTCACAAATAACTGGAGAGAGCTCTGTTTCTGGCATCTCTTTACACTTCCCCCTAAAATGGCCCCAAACTTTGTGTCACTGTACATGTTGCCAACCCTGGCATAGCTACGAAAACTTGTTAGGGTGATGTTACTCCATAAAGCTTTCCATCTTACCCCACATGTAAAAATCTCTTTAATTACTGAAGAAGACACCTTCCTTCCATCTCACTCCTCCACCTGCAGCAGCAAGATTCTGAGCTGCGATGTGTTGGCTCTTCCTCTGAAGCTCTTGCATCTCGCACAGTGGTGAGCTCTCATTGTGGTCATCCACCAAATCTTCCACATTCCTCCACACTCACATCCAACCCCATGGAACTTCCCCAGTGCCACAAATTGTTTTACAACAGACATAGGCCTCATTAAGGGTCGGGTCCCCAAATCCTTCAAAATCCCTCTTGTCCGACTCAATCTTCCCACAATTTACTCCAGGCAGAGTTCAAAGTCCTGAGTCACTCATTCCCAAGCCATACCTATAAGGTTATACCAATGAGGATGATGAAGTGTCTCTCCAAAATTCCCTTATTTCCAAGTGACTGTCTGTGGTCACAGTCAAGCACCTTTGAAACATTGCCTTTTGTGTTAGTTTTTAAAGTTGCAATAACCTGCTGGTCCATGTTTGGAGAGAGGAGTGGTATTCGGAGGCAAGAACTTTACTGTATGAACCCAAACTCCTCGAAAATGTCATCCAATTTGGAGGATGAGCAGGTGCATTGTCCATTACTGGCACTCATCTTGAGATCCAATTTCTTTTCCAGGAGATAACTCCCTTCACACTAGGGCCAAACACTTCATGATCCACCTGACGAAAAGTTCCCGTCGAGACCCCATGCCTACTATTAGATTTCCGAAAAAACAAGACACAATATACTCTATCATACAAAGTTTTACTGAACACTCTGGGATTTTCAGAAGGTACACTAGTAATGGCTTCACTTTCAAAATCCCCAAATCCTCCACAAGCATTAGCACAGAACATTAGCGTCAGCCTTTCATTCATAGGCTTTGTGCCCTGGGCATGCATTGTCCCTCTTTGTGTAATGAAGGTCCTCCTTTGGCATTTTCTTCCAAAAGAGTCCTGTTTCGTCACGAATTGAACACTTGTTCAGGTTTCAGTCCTTCAGCCTCAATGTACTACTGGAATACATGCCATATTTTTCAGCTCCTTGTGGTCCAAACTGGCAGCCACCACCATGCCTTACCACACAGTTTAAGCCAGTACGGTCCTTAAAATCCTCAAACCAGCCATTTGCTGGCCTATACATTCACTCACTTCAACCCACTAATTTGCAGGCAATATCATTACCAGAAATCTTCATGCAACTGCCTAGCCTTTTCACACATAAAGCGAAGTCCATAAGAGTATCTCCTGCAAATTGTTTCTTCTCATTTTAATCCACACCATAAAATAACTTTCTCCAAACTCTTCCAGTACTGGTGATCACATTGTTGTCGCATAGTTACTTCCCTTTGCAACAACAGCATCCTTT